TTGCTCACAGCCCCGTCCAACCTGGCCTTGGATGTTTCCAGGGATGGGGCCTCCACCCCCTCTCTGGGCAACCTGTTCCAGTGTTTCACCACCCTCATTGTAAATAATTTCTTCCTTATATCTAGTCTAAACCTACCCTGGTTTAGTTTAAAGCCATTACCCCTTGTCCTGTCACATAAACTGAGGCAGAGTGTGCTATGGAGCATTAAAACTCCAACCTCGCTCTCAGCCGTGCAGCAGCCTTTCCCAGACAGAATATTTCTCCTTACTGCTGTCGCTTAAAGGCTTTTTTCTCTTCAGTATGTGGCTGCTCTTGAGGACATGCTCCGAGAGCTGAAGAAGCAGTCCAGGTGAGCTGCACTCTGAAACCCTGCCGCGGGCGGGGGCCTCTGTGCCGTGTTCACCTCCTGCCTGGAAGACAGACATGGCCCCCAAGCACCCCGGTAGCGCGTAGGCTTCCCTCTGGAAATACCTGGCGCTGAGGGAGCAACTGTGCCCACAGAGCGGCTACGACGCAGCCCTGCGAGGAGCTGTGCAGCTCTGGGGGGGTCTCGGCCCCATGTCCCTGCATCTCAGCCTTGGCCCTGGGCAGTGCCCATGCCCCCAAGCTGTCAGTGCCTTGGCAAAGGTGGTTTTCAGGGGGTTGCAAGCATGTTCCTAGCCTTGAGGCTACTTCTGTTAGAAGATGCTTCTTTGAAGAAGCACCTGTTGGGTTTTTCTATTTTATTTTATTTGGGAAGGCACCTGAATAATAGAAAACACTAGTAACTTCTGGTTTTCATATTGTTGTTTTTCAATTCCAATAGCAAGCCAGCCCCAGAACTGCTGAATGAATACTCTCGCAAAGTGGACTTCCTGAAGGGACTTTTAGAAGCTGAAAAATTGGTAAGATCTACTAGTTCAGCTTGAAAAGACTTAAGTGTTCTCTGTGTGCATTCACCTTATTGCCTGGTTCCTATGATTGCCTTTATCTTATGTCTCAAAATAATATTTGCTAAAATCTTACCAGGCAGTCCTTGTAAAAATGTGAATAAATATACTGGACTTTCATATTTTGTGAAAAGGGGAATTTGTGTGAAATCTGAAACTTCTTTCCTTCTTTTCAAAAGCAAAGTACATCTTACCTACATCCTTCTTGCTTCTTTGATGTGAGATACAGGGGCAGGTGGTGTCCTATAGGCCTGACGCCTCTTTTGGGTGGTACCACGTGCATCTGGAGAGCTATGAAATGCCAATAAGCTGTGCTGTACAATTAGCACAGGTGCCATCAGTGCTGTTGTTCAGACTGACTTCGCTGTTCTGTGGGAAGCAGCTGTGGAAGTGCTCCCTGCTTCCTTGTTGGTCACGCATCCATATGGTCTCACACTGCAGAATGTGATGTTCATGACTTTTCATTGCTTCTTCCTATTCACAGTCTTCATCAACTGAAAAGGCTCTGGCAAATCAGTTCTTGGCCCCAGGACGTACCCCTACAACAACCAAAGAGAGAACCCCAGCTACTAAAACAGTTCATCTGCAGACAAAGGCTCGTTGCACAGGCAAGATGAGGAGTGAGCTGCTTGGTACAGTATGTTTTGGTGCTGCTGCTTCTTTACTGCTAGTTTGTAGATTGTCTGTTGTTGCATTGAGCTGCCTTTGGTGGCTGTGCCTCAGATGTATCCCAGGCTGGGTGGGGAGTCACTTTTTTCTGGTTTGGGTAGTTAAAATACTGGGCACAGGCACTATACTAGGTCTGGAGGACTTTTATCTTTTATCACTACCATTTGTAATCTTCTGTTTTGTTTCTCTTTCTGCCTCCCAGGATCCCTTGGTTATTGATGGTAAGTTTAATCTGGTTTTCTTTGACTTTAGTTAACCTGAGTCTTACAGGGAGAGAAGGTGGAAGGTCAGGTATTAGACACTGGCCAAAGTGTACTTTTAATTTAGTGTCTCACTTCTTTTCAAGATAGCAGTTTTTAAAAACAAACAAAACCAAAAACCCTAACAGCTGAAAGCCTAAGCGTTATTATCGGTATGGCAGCAGGGACTTACAAGAACCTATTTTTGTAGAATTTGTACAGAAACAGACATTCTAATTATAGAATTAGCAAGAATTTACCTTTATTGTTCTCCTGTTCTGCTCTGAGAAAATCATGTGATTTTAGGCGCTCTTGTGGTGTTGTGGTTTAACCCAGCAGGCAGCTGAACACCACACAGCTGCTCGCTCACTCCCCCTCCGCTCAGTGGGATGGGGGAGAGAACCGGAAAAAAAGTAAAACCCATGGGTTGAGATAAAGACAGTTTAATGAACCAGCAGAGGAAAAGAATAACAATAATAATAGTAACGGTAAGAGAATATACAGAATATACAAAACAAGTGGTGCACCATACAACTGCTCACCACCCTCTGACCGATGCCCAGCCCATCCCTGAGCAGCGATCACTCTCCCCTGCTAACTCCCCCCGAGCATGGCGTCATATGGTGTGGGATACCCCTTGGGCCAGTTGGGGTCAGCTGTCCTGGCTGTGCCCCCTCTCAGCTTCTTGTGTCCCCGGCAGAGCAGGGGAAGCTGAAAAAGTCCTTGATTTAGACTAAGCACTACTTAGCAACAACTAAACCATCAGGGGGTTAGCAATACTCTTCTCATCCTAAATCTAAAACACAGCGCTACGCCAGCTAGTAGGAAGGAAATTAACTCAATCCCAGCCAAAACCAGGACAGGCGCTTACTGTAGGCGTTGTTCAATTCCTCTTAAATGTACAGCCATGTTATTTATGTGGGGAACTGGTAGGAATTAATTTGTGGTTTCTATAGCTTCTGTTACACTGGCTGGAGCTAGGCCAAGCTAATGTGTCCTGAAAGAGAACACCAAGACGCACGGGCTTAAACCATGCCCTCAGGGATATGATTCATCTGTTTTTCCTCTCCACCATACGTTTGATGTTCTGTGTTGTCTTTTCCCTGAGGAAAGCAGGTAGCCATTTGAAATCCATATTCTCTGGGGTAGAGGATCAAGTAGGATTTGGACATCTGAAAATCCCTTACAGAAAATTAGTTTCTTTAGCCTGTGATTGTGTGGGAATTTATAACATGCTAAAATACAAATTTAACTCTTTTTCCAGATTCTGAGGAGTTTAACGTAAGGAAGCGGAAGTAAGTCAAAATTTCTTATTCTGATGCTCAAGTGTTTTGGGAACTGCTTTCCCAGTGACCTTTAAATCACAGATTTGCTTCCATTTGCGTGAAGTGCCTGCTGGTAGAAACCTAAATATAATGACTTCAGCTGATTTAACTGTTCTTGTCTTGACAGAGTTGCAGAGTCTGGGGAGACCGTGGGAGATCAACCCACAGGGAAGTACAAATCCCAATTTTATTTTTTTTCCTTATCCTCTTGCAGAGGCGTTGCGTCTGATGAGAAGCAGTCGGCAGTTGAGCTGGATGCTGTTCTACAGCACCATCAGGATATGCAGGAGAAGTTAGCTGAAGAAATGTTAAGTTTGGCTCGCAGTCTCAAAAACAACACCCTGGCTGCGCAGAATGTGATAAAACAAGATAACCAGGTAGCGCATATTAAAGCCCTAACCTCTCAATTATGCAACCCAGAAGGTTAAAGTGCTGTTGTGTTTAAAATCTCTACCTAGAACTTGATTCCAGGTGAGATTAGAGTGGGGAGACTTGGAGGCAATACCTGTCTGCTTCTATAGCACAATTGAACCTTTTCTCTGTTGGAAGAATTTGCAAATCTGAGTGTGAAACCATTTGTTCTCTTTGCTCCCCAGACACTGTCGCATTCTCTCAGGATGGCAGACCAGAACTTTGAGAAGCTCAAGGATGAATCTGACCGCCTTGAACAGCATGCAAAGAAATCGGTCAACTGGCTGCTGTGGATAATGTTAATTGTCGTTTGTTTTATATTCATCAGCATGATTCTCTTTATCAGGATTTTTCCCAAACTAAAATGATGGTGGTTTGTTTTTTAATTTAAAACTGCCAGAAGTGCAGCTGGAAAGCTCAGCTGGTATGAGAACTGTCAGCAAGCAATTTCTTTGCCACCTATCATGTCCAAGGCCTACCCTTGCATCTCTCTTTCATGCAATCACTGGATTCAGTGAAGGGTTTCATGCAGAAGACTTTTTACGCTTGGACACTTGGTTACTTTCTTACTTAGTGCATATTGTTGCCTGTCAAAGGGGAAACTGGGATAAAGATGGCAATTTATGCTGAGCTGCTAACAAGTTCCTTAGTGGATAGGTACAGTCCTGGTTTTAATGTGGCTGTGGCAAATGTTACAGCTCCTAAAAGGCGTTTACTCGATACGAATACAGGTAACAGTTGAAGTCTTAACAATTTTTTCTGTCTTTACAGCTTTACTGTACTGAAATAGGACCTTGCTGCCAACAGGATATTTAATTACAAAGTTATGTACGTACACAGCTGTAGGGTGTAGGAAGAGAATGCTGCCATTGAACTGCTTGCCTGGCTCAGATTCAGAGAGTATCAGCAGGTAAAACTATTCTCAGGCTCACCTTTTTTCCAGATGAGCATCTGGGACTTGGGACTTTGCAGTCGTTTTCAGTTTAGACTCGCTATAGAAGGGCTGAAGTTGCTTGCTGTTGCAATGTTGGCTTCCCTTTTTGTATGCGCAAATGTTCTCACTTATACACTGTCTGTTATGTTGATGCTCTTGCATCAAGAAAACGCTGTGACCCTGGCACCGTGGAACTGTACACACAGGACTCTCCGTAGGGTACGGACCTCACCTGTACAAACATTTTTTCACTGTAAGATGAGGTTGAAGGAAGCTGGTGTCTTCAAGGCAGAAATAATAATACTAATAAAAAAAATTCAGCCGTTAACCTTTTGAGACAAGTTATCCTGGTCAAGAGTGTTTGTGTCAAACTTGTATTCTTAAGAGGTCACTGCAAAGAAGCAGAGGTGAAACAACTAGGCTGAAACACTGCTACTGCTAGAAAAATTTGGAGCCTGCAGTAAAGTAAGGTTTGTTGTGACAATGAGACGTTCTTAAGCACTTGTGATAAGCTAAAGCAAAGCAGTCTGTATCTGTGTGGTTGTTTCTGGAGTCTTATACCAGCAAGTGTTGGTGTTTAGGGGTGTGCGTTTTCACGTGGAGGAAGTGGGGAGCAGCAGATGACCCCCAAGTGTTCCTTTGCCATTTCTTATGCTGTTTTGAGCCACTAGATGGGGTGTTTTAGGCCTGTCTGTCCGGTGATCTCCACACAGCAGCCCTGGGCCAGAGGGAGGTAGGGGGAAGAGCTGTTTGTCACAACAATTGAGTTCTTATCAAAATCTGATTGCTGCTTTGAATGCATCCCAGAGCAGCAGGCTCTGCTTCAGAATTGTTCTTTGTTCTTCACAAAACCAGCCATTAATGAAAACAGTTAACATTTTTTATATGAAGTATTTTTGTTCATTTAACAGGATGTTTGCAACTTAGTATGCCATTGACTTATGGATTATCAAATGAGTGATTATTCTGTGAAGTACAGCTTTTTCTTCTTGCTGCTCATCTGTGTGATACGTTCATTCTGTTCGAGCAGAATTACCTTGAACTTTACAGACAGACATAGTTGTAGCAATCTGTTTCTGGACATGTCTACTTTTCCCATAAGTTTTTCTTCAACTGCAGCATTTGACATTTCGCTGTGCTTCGTTGGTGAATGCTGTGTCACCAAATTATTTTTAATTCTAATTGTTTACTATTTCCCCTGCAGGCATTTCAGTGCTGAGCTCTTCTCTTAGAGCAGAGGTTGAATGTAGCATTGGAATTTTTTTTGTGTGTGAGATACTGGAATAATATGACATTAATGCTTCATTGTCTATAACATTTTCCCCTTTATTACTTGAAATATTTTTTTTTCCAGCTTGCAGAAGACTTGCTGTATCATTGCAGACAAGTTTAAAGCTGAATTTTGCTATCAGCCATGTGCTGGGTACAACTTTTTGGCACTTGTAAATTAGGAGTTCAATTGGAGAGACCTGAAAGGGAATGACTAGTGATAGCTTGCCCCCAAGAAAATATCCACCCCTCCAAGTCAACAGCAATTCCTTTATAAAGAAGCCTGCTAGGAAGTGGGTTCAGAAACACATGCTATTTAACTTGTGACCGTTGACATTTCACAGGTGTTTGTTATTTGAAGGACAAACTGCCAGGACTGAGATTGACTCCTGTAACTGCTAACACTTTTTGTGCTATCTCACATGCCCGTTGAGCATAGTGCCTCCAGCACTGCGCTGAGCTGAGCGTCTGGTTCCCTCTGACCCGGTGGAAGAATGTTACCTTCTGCCCTGGCAAACCAAACGGATTAATTGCCTCAGTGGCCAGAAATCTCTCTGCACACAAGGGCTGTTTTGTCAATTGGCGGTTGCAGTCTTTGCTTTTCTTGAGTTCATTTAGTAATTATAGTCATTCAGAAACACTTTGAAGGTCGGTGCCGGTAGTATTTAGAATAAACAATCACTTGAGGCTTCGTGACATTTCATAGAGTGACAGTTCTTATTTTTGACTAACATATGAGTGGGGGCAGTGGCTGGATGATCTGCTGCTTTAGTCCTCAGCAACATTTCATAGCATGGGGGCTCGGAGGTGCTTATTTCTACAGAATATTGTTATATAGAGAAATAGCTTTCTGTGAGAGTTGCAAACATTGTGAAGGGAGAATTGCTTAACTTTCCCAAAAGCTTGGGAAACCCAGCTGGTGAGATGTTTATCAGGCTTAGGGCTGGGCCTGGGTTGGCTTCTTGGCAGACTCTACCTACTTTCAGACAGCAAGGGGAAAAAAAAAAAAAAAAGTCTGGAGATGTGGGTCATGTCAGGCCGGTGAATGCACCGTTTCCAAGCCTGGCAGCAACAGCAACTGTGGGTCAGTCTAAGCTTTCCTGGCAAACTTCCTTGGTGACAGAGACTCCTTGTATTATAATACTTAATGTTTAAGCAGTGTCCTCAATCATGGCCAGATTTGATGTTCTGAAGGGATTTTTACAGTAGATAGGCTGTCAGTACGGGTGCATGAATGGCAGGAGCAAAACACTGCATACGGTGGCTCCTGTGGCTGGGTAATCTCAGCTTGTTTTGGGCATATGTTCCCCGGGTTTGGCTTTACAAAGCCTCCGTGTATCAGACTTTATAGTCTGTGAGCAGCTTTCCAGAACTGGCAGCTATTCAGCCAAAAGGGGTTATTTTGTAAAAGGGTGAAAGCGATGGAGTGGACGGGTTCTGCTCCCGACTGTTCACCTTGTGATACCGGGCAAGTCACCTCCATTCTCATTGTCTCTGCTGTAAACCTGACATGAAACCTGAGCATCAAAGGCCTATGATTAATAGTCACAAGCATGAAAAAAATTTTAACCATGATAACATAGCAATAATAATCAAATTTCTTGGTCTACGGCAGTGTGCTGATGCCGTCCCAGAGTCCTACAGCCCGGGGTAGGGCTGGCTGGTAGCTCTTGTCCTGATCTGCCGCATTGCTGAGGCTTGGTGTGTACTTGCAGTGTGTTCCCGCTGAACAAGTGACATTAAAACCCCACTTAGCTAAGTCAATACCACCTGTCACATGACACCGACATGACATTTCTGGCACGTGTGCTGCCTCCTAATAGGAGATGGAAGTGGGAAGCAGCAGCAGCTAGTGAATAATGGATTAGATATGCCTGGTTTGTAACATTTACAAAGAAAGGGCGTGTCTCCTAGCTACAGAACAAACTGGTTATCAAAATGGGAACTAGAAGTTCTGTGTTGTCCAAAATGTAGAATGTTGAGATAAAGCAGCATGGAAACATACAGTTACGGTTTGCTGAACTCCCTTATGCTGTCCCTCCAAATTTGACTGTGGATCAGCAAAAACATTAGTGTAAAGAAATTAAAAAGGGGTGGCGGGGGGCGTGTGGAGGATTTTGACCAAATAAAAATTGCACAGAACACGTATTTTTGGCAAGACCTTGCTCTCAGTGAATAATTAAAAGACAAAAATACAGTTATGCAAAATTATTCACTTTTTGCTTTTATATTTTAAGGACAGCCAACACAAAACACTTCTCTGTATACAAACGCTTTAAGTACCCAATGTTTACTGGACACAGTTCTGGTTTTTCCTTTACATTTGAAAAAAGCAAAAGCTTCCCATAGAAAATTATGGGCATAAACCATAAAGAGAGGCTTGTTGTTTTTCCACAGAGAGGGGACCTCATCAAACACGTACAAATATCTTAAGGGCGGAAGTCATGAGGACGGAGCCAGACTCTTTGCAGTGGTGCCCAGCGCCAGGACAAGGGGCAATGGGTACAAACTGAGACATAAGAGGTTTCAGTTGAATATGAGGAGAAACTTCTTTACTCTGAGGGTGTCTGAGCCCTGGCCCAGGCTGCCCGGAGGGCTGTGGAGTCTCCTCTAGAGATATTCAAAACCCGCCTGGACAAAGTCCTATGTAACATAGAATCATAGAATGTTTTGGGTTGGAAGGGACCCCTAGAGGTCTAGAGGTCATCTAGTCCAATCCATGCTCTAGGAGAACCTGCTTTAGCAGGGGGGTTGGACTGGGTGATCTCCCGAGGTCCCTTCCAACCCTTGCAATTCTGTGATTCTGTGATTTGAGGTTGGTTTAGGTGTACAGTGAGAAGCTGTAGGAAGGAATGATGGCTGAGGAGGCTGGAGGGGACCGAAGGCCAGGTATAGACCTGTCTGGCTGTTTCACAGCTGGGCCCCACCTGCTAGACACAGGCTGGGAACAGTGACTGTCGTGTGGTTCTTGTAGCAATGAAGAAAAATCTAGGCTCTTCCAAGTTGAAAAGTTTGATGCCAAGTTAGAACAAAAATGTTCTGACAAGGAATGGAAGGTAAGTCCAATACTGCATCTGCCTCTATGGCATCTAAAAATCGAACTGAACAAAACCAGAAACTGGATAAAAAAAGAAAATATGAGGCAGTGTCGCAGTAGGCCATGGAGAGCTGTGATTTTCTTTGCATCCTTCATCTCCAGCTCCTTTGAACTGCATGTGGCAGAGAGATGCCCTCTGCCATTTTCACCTTGGGCAGAGGTTATATTTGCTAATGTAACAATAGAATTCTCCAGAAGGATCTGACAGTGTTTCCTGTTTCAACAGTAAAAAAAAATGGGACTTATGTCCTTAGCACGTAGAGTGACCGGATCTTCATCCTCTGAGCTTTCTCCCATCGCAAAGAGAGCAGTCACTTATCGGATTTGGTGGGGACGGAAGGAAGGGTAAGAAAGGAACTTTGTCAATCTATGATGTGAAATATTTTATATTAAGAGATTTGGCAAACGGTTCTGTGTGACTCTGAACAGGATGAGATAAATTTTCCAAGGTCAGCCCAGCTTTAGGTTTAGTCACCAAGAAGTCAATTCTGTAACCTTTACAGCAACATCCTGCCAATGATGCAGAGACTCGGCTATTGTTGGCTTCAACAGCAACTCTTCCGCATCTTCAAAGGACAGGAGGCTGAACAATGTGCGTACTGCATGGTGAGAAACTTGGGAGCAGGAAAGTATGTTTGACAAATCAAAAATAGAGCAACCTGAGCAATGGGGTAACTATTCACTCAGGCAGTTGCAACCTGTGGTTCAGAAAAGGCCATACTGAATGGTGGATGAAGCAGAAAGAATTCTGACTCTCAGCTTGGCCTTTGGGCTTGCTGTGTGGCTTTGGCTCGCTGAACTGGTTTTCAGCTGGTTTGTTCTTAGAATTACAACTGATATACCTTCTTGGTGAGTCAACTGCTCTAAAGCTCCTTTTGGGCACAAAGCGTTGTGTTCCTTAAATATTCCTGAACTGATGAATTAGCATGGAACTTTACGCTAAAAAAAAAACCAACCCTAAACCCACCCAAACACAGACCTCTGCCTGTGTGTTTGGTTCCAGCATTTATTTCACGAGAGAAAGATGTATTTCATTTTCAAGACATGAAGCTTGCAGCAAGTGCAGCATCTCGGTGATGGGGGAAGCCAAGCAGCGTTCTCCCTCCACCTGTAGTTGTGTCAATATAAGGATGTGACCGCGCTCCAAGGGTAGCGTGCAAGCACTGCTGAGTTCAGTGTACAGCACTGCTGCAGGCAGCAGGCCCTGGAGATGAGACTTTGAAGAACTGTATTGTTGGTGCCTAAACAGCTTGGTCTGTCCTAGCTTTGTTAACTTGAGCAGGGAAAGCTAAATTAAAATGGTAATAAAAGCGGCGGTTTCACCCTTTCAGAAGGTAGGGAGTAGTGTACAAAGTCATCTGCTGTGCTCGTGGTTCCTCTTCTAGGGATGCTGCCACCAGAGATGGGTTTCCAAGGACTTCAATTCCTAGCAGGTTGATCTGGAGGAGCTGGGATCTGATTAGGATACGCTTAGGTTGGTTTCAAATGGAGGCATTTGTAGGGCAGAGCAGAATGACTCCGTCTTGCCAGTCTCACAGAAAGGTTTTTCAGCCCGTGTGGGCTACAATAGGCCAGTGCATGTAGAATGCAAAAAACGAGTGGAGGGTTTGGGCCCCAAACCATTTTTAGTGGTTTGGGGTTTTTTTTTTGGTAACAATATATTTCAAAGTCTTCCTTCAGGACTTGAAGCCATGCCAGATGTGCCATGTAAAAGGAACATAATCTGAAACAGCTTTGGGCATGATAACAGCATGCCCATAGCCCTGGACTATTTTAACTTTTATGTTTCTGTAGATTTACATTAGTGAACGAAGGATAAGGGCCTGCATTCATTTTTTTTCCAACAGCGAAGGCCGTTGTTTGGAGGGCGCTGACCCTATGGACATTGTGCACCTTGTATAAGGAGGCACTAGACACACAGCTTTAAACTGCTGGGATTCTTGGCCACTGTACAGTGACTGTAGAGCAAAGGTAAATCCACAGGACAGCTCTTTTTTGGGGATTTCAACAGGAACAAGGCTTTTGAGGGGGCCTGTAAACTTCCTGCATTACCTTGCGATGCACTGCTTTCATGCTGTGTAGTACATAGCACTTGCGTGGTGTATTACCTAGCTGAAATGCCGAAGGTGACAAAACTGAAGTGTGTTTTCATGAAAACACCGCAGTGGGGGACCACCATTTGGGTTCAGCTCTGAAAGTACAATCAACATTTTGTCACACTAATTTTCTAAACAGCTTCAAAAGCAAAAGATCGCTGCCTTCTGAGTGCGCTGAGGATGCTGTAGATGCATATAGTAACCTGGTTGATACTTTTTGTACATTTTTATAAATTTGGTCCTTTTACCTGCTGCAAGTGTACGCTGTTCAGGTATGTAGTGAAGGATGATTTTCTGCATCAAAGAGAATCACAGAATGGCAGGGGTTGGAAGGAACCTCGGGAGATCCCCCAGTGCCACCCCCCTGCCCAAGCAAGCCCACCCAGAGCAGGGGGCACAGGACAGCGTCCAGGCAGGGATTGAATATCTCCAGAGAAGGAGACTGCACAGCCCCCCTGGGTAGCCTGTGGCCAGGGCTCTGTCGCCCTCAAAGAAAAAATGTTAAAGGTCAGAAAAGAGAATATTATTTCAAAGATCCATTTTCCTTGCCTTCCCTGGCAGTTATTACTGCAGAGATTCATTTAAGTAAGGAAGCGACCAAAACAAAAAATTTGTGGGGTCAAATAGGTAGATGCCCTCCCTTTCAAGACTCTGTATTTATTTTCTTAGGAGGATTCAGTATTTATTTTCTTAGGAGGATTCAGAAATGAACCCCGAGAGTTTGTGT